ATGAAAATTCTTTTTCTCACGAAAATGGAGTTTTAGGAAAACCCACTTGAATCTTGAAGAACTCATATCTCAGTCTGAATATTGATTGAAGCAAAGGCTGGAGGAGGTTTGTTGGCTGAGCAAAAAGCAAAATCAAGCCTGAATTTATAGAAACCTCATAGGGTAACCCAAAGGTCATGAGAAGAACAAGAGACGCATGGTCGTAGACCTCTTCTCTAGAAAAACACAAGTTCCAAGAGTGGATATACAAGCATGCGGATATGCAATCAATATTGGCGCTTGGAATTCCAGTCTGAAAATTGATTGAAGGGGGCACTGTTTGGGTTAAAACTTAAACTTTGGACTTAGAAGGGAGTTGGCCCAAATAGAGAAAGAAAAGCCTGAAGCTCAGCCCAAACCCAGAAGGTAGATAAGGTCTTTCCCGACTAGATGCAGATCATTGGCACCACTTGCTCACCTACCCAAGGGCCAAGTGGTATAGACCAGCTAGCTAATCAGCCCAAAAAGTACTTTATAATGGCAGTACAAGTAAATAGCTGATGAGTCACTATCCTTCAAACTGCATTCGGGCAAGATTATTGCTACAGGAGGCCAAGCCAAGGTGTCTATAAAAGGAGAAAGAGAAGTCAGAATCAAGGACACTCAAACAAACAAATACAAGCACAAACTCTGCTCAAAGCCAGATTTGCCTTCAAAACAAAGCTGTAGTCAACCCAAGCCTTCATCCCCTTCGGGATAAACCCTTTGTAATAGCTCTGCTACCCTGTTCAACTCTTGTTGTAGTATCGATCTCTTTTCTGTAAAATCACCTCCCAACCCTTTTTCTAAGCTTTCAAACCTTCTGATAAACCATAAAGATAGGAAGTTGTAAGACGATCAGCCTTGCCCGACAAGGTTAAACCTTGCCTGACCCTCTTTGTTTTTGTCTTTTCATTCATTAGCCTAGCAATATGGTGTATACTACAAGTTGTATCCAAGTTATTTCTAGTAATATAGCTATTAAAAGACTCTTTTAGCACTTGAATCTGATTTGAATATGCCTTCACAGTTCAAGTCAGATCTAAGTTCTAAGCCTTCGGGCATATAAGATTTGATCATTCTAAAGGCATAAAAAAGAACCTGATGTGGACTTAACCCATCCACTACAAGCTTTGATAACAAGAAGTCCGAAGTTACTTGGGGCGCAAGTAATCGACCTGTCACTTAGTTTTATTGTTGTTATATTATGATTACCATATAGCGTTCGAGTACGGGATGAGTTCTGATGGGAAGCCTCAAGGCCTATTCAAGGTCCCACAAAGGCACCTATTTGGATTCACCCTATTTCTCGGGCAAGAACATTAAGTATAGAAGGGGTTCTGATGGGAAGCCTCAAGGCCTATTCAAGGCCCCACAAAGGAACCTATTTGGATTCATTCTGCTCTTTGAGCTCAGGTAATCAGAAGTATGATGGTTATAAGACCCATATAACCCACAAAAGGAACATTATGTGTTCGAGTACTAAGTTAGTTATTTATGGGAAGCCTCAAGGCCTACACCTAAGGCCCCACAAAGGCACCTGTCAATAACTAACATAGTTTCGCGAATATATATAATTAAACTCAAACATCCGTTCTACATTTGCCATGCTGAAGATGGCAGTGGCACGCCTGAGCACTTAAAGGTTAATCTTGATTGTGAGCCTCAAGGCCTACACATAAGGCCTCACAAATGCATCTTTCAAAGTTAACTCTGTCCTTCTCTTTCAGCCTTGCCCGATAAGCCTTGCCCGACAAGCCTGCCAGTAAAGCAGGAGCCCGACAGAAAGCATCAACCGGCGCCAACCTCACGGGGAGCTGTGTGCTCGTCGGACAGAAAGCATCCCCCACGGAAATTCCCGCCACGAACAAGGACACCCTCCTTTATCAGCCATCTTCATGATCTCAGAGGAACCATGGTTAAGTGGATACCAGCAAGCATCAAACAAGCTCTCGGTTGTCTTGCCTATTGTTAAATAATTGCAAAAGCCTTCAATCTTTACCCAAGCTCCCAGGGGTACGTTGGCTGGAAGCACATGGTTGCACTTCTCTGGAGAAAGTGTCAAGTTTAAGGACTCAACTTGTATAAGGTTGTGATGATTACGAACATGGAGTTTATGGAAGGATCCCCGAGAAACTTATATTTTCTGGTTGCTTGAAATTGGATGAGAATGCCTGGAACGGCATAATGGATGACGCACATCTTCAAATTATGCGAATGGCGGCTTCACACAATGTGGAATCGTTGGATGGAAATTCTTTAGTTACCATTGTATGTCCGGGAAGTGAAATCCCTAATTGGTTCGGAGCTCAAAATGAGGGATCTTCGATAAATATCAGTCTTCCTCCAAATTGTTTTGGGTCAGACTTCTTTGGTTGTTTTCTCTCTTCTTGTTGAATTAATTTGACAACTATAATGTTGAACAAGGATTGGAGTTCGGATGTAAATCCACACACAAAGGGAATAGTGGTAAAGGCCATGAATTTAGCTGTCGTTTGTGTGATCGACTGTGGGGTGAAACCCAAGATGAAGAAAGCAACGGCTACAATTTCAATTCGGACCACATGTTTGTGTGGTATAATACATTTGACCTTGTTGGGGGAGCACAATGCTCTACTGCTCTTCACAATGGTGTCACTGAGGCATCTGTTGAGTTCTACTCAATAGATCATCATGACATACCACTTAACTCATACACAAAAAAGGTCGTATCCAGTGCACAAGGCTCCCGCTTTACGCAGGGTCTGGGAGAGGTGAATGTCGGCTAGCCTTACCCCCATTTATGGAGAGGCTGCTCCCAAGTCTCGAACCCGAGACCTACCGCTCATGGGCGAAGGCACTTAACTCATACACAATGAAGATAAAAAGGTGTGGAGTCTGCCTGTTGTATGCCGATGATACTAAGTAATCTGATGCCGCGTGACGGAGCTAAGAGTAGCAGAAGATACTAAAAGTCTGAGAAGTTGCGATGAGTCTGAAGCAAGCGGAAGTGATACTTTGAGCCCTTATAAGAAACAAGGGGATGAACAAGTACCTGAAAGAGAACATAACTCGAGGTGCAAGATCAACCATGCTCGATGGTAGAGAAAAACTACTGTAGACTTGGGAGTCTAATTTAAAAACTGTGGTAAGTCTTTCTCGTTTTATGCCTTCTGCCCTCCCATATACCAAAGGAAATAAAACAAATCAATTCCATCCGAAATTCGATTGTAATACGATTTAATGTACGTATTCTACATCAAACATTTCACGAAATTAGTTGAAATACCAAATAGTGTATTAATTGGATTTTTTTTTTCTCCATTGAAAAAGTATGGTCTTCTATAGAGCACAAGTCATGGAAGACTTAGAAGTTTCACAATTCACACTTCAATTCAATTTGTTTATTATTTGTTAAAAAAAGATGATCATGGGTTACATCTCCTTTTGAATTCTTTTTTACATTTTTTCACATATGATGCCTATGGAGAGATTGGGGAAAAGGAAGGAGAAAAACAAGAGCAAAATGTTCGAAAACCGCGTGAAAGAGTTATGTTGTCATGATAATTTTAAATTTGTGCAGTTTTGTTGAGTTGCCACCAGATAGTCAGAGTTGCATGGCTTGAATTCCTTGGAAGTTTCTATTTTTTTAATTTTAGTTTTAAGTTTAATTTTTTTGGTTGTTAACGTCTGGTGATTTTCCTACATTGTTCTTGTGCAAATAGTCACTAGAATTGTTAAAACATAAAGGGATCTCTGCAACTGCTTTCTAGCTCTCATGCTTAATTTCGTCGTGATCAGTGCAACGCCTTCTTAATTAGGTTGTTTTGGTCGTAATATTTGGCAACTTCTATCTTGGTCTGGACTCCGGAGGTAATCCAACTGACTTTTTCTGTTGCATAAATTATCTGTCGAAAGATCACTCATTTCTTATTCATATACAGCCAATTTGCATATTTTGACTTGTAGGTGTGCAGGTTGTGGATAGGGAGATATGGCTTCATCTTCTTCTTCTCCTCCTTTATCTAGACCCTCTCCTCCCGAGAAGTATGATGTGTTTATTAGTTTCAGAGGTGAGGACACCCGCCTTAGTTTTAGAGTTCTCATTGACAAGTCTCTCATATCAATTTATTCAACCCGGGAAACCATAGAGATGCATGATTTGCTTCAGGAAATGGGTTGGGCAATTGTTTGTGAACAATGCGTTGAAGAGCCTGGAAAACGTAAGAGGTTGTTCAATGCTAAGGATGTCTATCATGTATTGAAAAATAATATGGTATAAGCCAAATGGATTAACTTTACAGAATGTCATTAACTTTCTATTAGAAACTCATTTATAATAAGTTAAATTCTTATAAATGTAATTCTGGTTAACTTTTGTTGTGTATTGTATTCAAATTTATAATTTGCTCTTGATTGACAGGGAACTTCAGCTGTTGAAGCCGTTTTCTTTAACATATCTGAGATTGAAGAACAACACTTGAATCATGCAGATTTCAAAAAATGAAACAACCGAAGTTGCTAAATGTTGATAATTCTAGCTGTGGCCAATTAAACTTTTCTCTAGATCTTCCCAATTCTCTTTGTTATCTTTACTGCTGTGGATTTCCTTTCAAATCTTTGCCGTCAAAATTTTCTCCAGAAAATCTTGTTGAGCTTCGAATGCCCCACATCCTAGTTGATCAACTTTGGAAGAAAGGCCAGTTACATTTGCTTATTTTACTTCTTATAACATGCAGGGCAGAATGTTGTTCAATCTAAAGTATTAATTCTTACTATTTCTCTTTCATTTGTAACAGAATCTTATGAGCTTAAAAGTGCTTGATCTTAGTTACTCTAGCAATTTGACTGAATTTCCAAATATCTCTCGGTGTTTGAAGATTGAGTATATAAATCTTTTTGGTTGTACAAGTTTGGTTGAAATTCCTTCGTATTTTCAATTTCTAGACAAGCTTACTGATGTTCAACTTGGATGGTGCAAGAGTCTCAATTATCTCCCAGAGATGCCAAGCAATATCGAATTCTTAAGTTTACAAGGCTCTGGTATAAAGGAGTTGCCATTATCAGTTTGGTCTAATGAAAGAATTTCAGAGGTTAATAGTGAGGATTGTAAAGAACTTGAGAAACTTCCAAGCAGCACTTGTAATCTGAAAGTCTCCGGTACTTTTAGTCTAGATCACTGCTTATCTCTTGGCGAGTTTTCCGAGCTTCCCAAGGATATAAGTGTGTTAGATTTGGCTAGGACATCAACAAAATTATTGCCTATATCATCAATGGCGCACCTCTTTAGTCTCACTACAGTTAAACTAAAGGATTGCCAAAAGCTTGAGAGTCTCCCAATTGGCATTTGCAAGTTGAAATCTCTTAAGGAACTCGATCTCACTGGTTGCTCTAGATTTGAATACTTCCCAGTCATCTTGGATCCAAAGGAACATTTGGATTTTCTTAGTTTAGAAGAAACAGCTATTAAAGAGCTACACTCAACAATCGAGTTTCTCCCTGTTCTCAAAACATTTCAATTAAAAGGTTGCAAAAGGCTTGAAAGTCTCCCAATGAGCATTTGTAAGTTGAAATGTCTTGAGGGACTTGATCTCTCTGGTTGCTCTAGATTCAAATACTTCCCAGAAATATTGGAGCCAATGGAACATATGGAGTTTCTTTGTTTCAAAGGGACTGCGGTTAAAAAGCTTCCTTGTTCGATTGATAATCTAATTGGGCTTCAAACATTTGATCTCCATCTTTGCGGGAACTTTGAGGTTGTCCCAAGCAGCATCTACAATTTAAAAAATCTTGTAACTCTCAACTTTTATGCTTGTCAGAAACTCAAAGAATTACCTTTCGGCACTGTCAGTTTGATCTCTTCGGAAGTACTAAACCTCGGTCGCAGCGGTATATCAGAAATCCCTGATAGTCTCGTTTGCTCAGCTTCATTGAAAGATGTAAATCTGAGTGAAACCCTGATTAGGAGCATACCTGCATGCATCAAAGAAGCACCTCGTCTGTCTCGCCTGTGGTTAACCAATTGCAAGATGCTTCAGTCTTTACCAGAGCTCCCAGTGCTAGTATATCTTGAAGCAGAAGGTTGCACATCACTAAAGACAATGTCAAGTTCAAGGACAACACTCACGCAAGGTTGGGATAAATTTTGTCAAGAAATAATCAACTTTTTTGACTGCATAAATTTAGAGCACAATGCAAGGAGCAACATAATGGCTGATGCACAACTTAGAATTTTGCGAGTCGCAAGTGCGTCACGGAAGTTAAGAGAAGAAAAATATGATGTATGTCTCTCTCTCCCCTCTGTTGCTACTTTTCACTGATCTAAAATATACAATGTCTTTTTTCACTGATCTAAAATATATAGTCCAATTGTCCACCAATGTTACAGGAAAACTCTTCTCGGCCTTTGGTTACTATTGGATGTCCGGGGCATGAATCAAAATGACAGACCTTCAATAATAATCAACCTTCCCCCGAACTGGTTTCGTAATGGTATATTGGGTTTTGCTCTATCTATGGTGTGGAGTTCGGAAGTAAGTACAAATTCATAACTAAGAATGGTGAAAGTCATGAAATGATCAGGTGTCCTTTCTATTTAGGATGGTACGACTCCAATTTAAATCCACATCACGTGTTTGTGACCAACAATGCCTTTGAACTTGAAGAAGATGCTAAATACTCCACTAATTTTTACAAACTTGTTACGGAGGCCTCTGTTCATTTCTGGCCAATGAGTATTTCCGGCCAACCCACTTCCTATTTGAAGGTGGAGAAGTATGGTATCAGCCTGTTGTATGCCGAAGATGCCGTGAAATGAAAACTGATGTCATGATTATGGAAAGTAAAAGTAGAAGAAGATACGAGACATGACGAGTCTGATCCGAGTGAGATACTCCAATTAACTCATCAAATGTATCAATATAGATTTCCTTGATTCTCAAGCATATTGTACTTCCATGCTAATCCGAGCGAGAGAAAATTATTTATTTTCTCCCAATTGACTTGCTATCTAATCCAAGTGAGAGAAAATTATTTATTTTCTTTTAGGCCTATTTCGTTTAGCCCATATGAAATCCGAAACCCTATTTATCGGGACTTGGCCTTCATTTTTCCTTTCGTAGCGCAACATTTGGGCCTGGGTTATGTTAACCCATTTAATTTAATTTAATATCTTTATACATATATTCCCTTGTATATATGTTTTCATTTGTGGGAGTTATGAACTCGAGGTTCATATTTTTAATTCGAACCACATTATTGTTAGCTTATTGTAAGGCTAAGTTCAGCTCATCCCCTTTAGTATAGATAATATCGCTTGGTCAAAAAAAAAAAAACAATTTTGCATCTAAAGTAATTTGAAGCAATAAATTATAACTATTTAAGATGGCACATAGAAGCTTAACTTGGTTGATGAGAAAAGTTCAAATGGTAGTTTGGTTCTAGGGTACAAAGAGCGTTGTCTTAATAACCATAGCTACATTGAAGAGTACAATGTGAAATGCATAGGACAGACAGACAGACTAAAACATGAGTCCACCCACGTCCCACCCGGAGGTTAACAATTCACCGTTCAAGTAGAAACAACAAAAACAAACTAATGTGTCAGGATTTTTGCAAATTGCTACTTGGAGGTGGAACTTAAAGGTATTATTTATGTTGTTTATATGGCTAGCTTTGGATTGGGGTTTGCATTCTCTTTGGATTGAGATTCTTCTTTGGTAATGCATTTTCTTTTTAATGGATCTTCTCAAGGTGCATTACCGTTTGTCGGTTGATTGGGCAAATTGTTGCATATTCTCTCTCCCCATCCATATTCTGTTTTCTCACATTTATTGCGAATGAAATCAAGTGGTGGATTGTTTGGCAAACTATGGTGTTGATTATGTTGGGGTTTATTGGTGGAATTATTGTCCTCCGTGCCACAGTTATCCACCTCTTCTCGGGGCCTCAGGCATTTCAGCCTCTCCCTAGGCACAAGTCTAGCTTCCACGTCAGCAGTGGGTTTCAAACCCAAGACCTACAATTTTTAATTTGAAGGAAGCCTCGCAATCCGACTTTTACCACTGGTCATCTTTCTACTTCTTGTTAGGGTATGGTTTCATGTTCCCTCTAACTTTTTGTATCTTTATTTTTTTTTTCTTCTTCAATATATTCACTTTAATGTCTTTCTTTTTTTTAAGGAAAACTAATGAAAAGTCCAAAAAAAACTTTAGTTTTAATGAAAAATGACAAATAAAGGTGTAGTGAATAGTATTAGGGAAAGGTAAAAATGTGGTTTTTCATTAAAAGTGAACAGTACCGAGAGTGTTTTGTTAAAACTCGCATTTTTTTATGATAGGTACGTTGGAGTGGAAGTGGCATTGTTTTTTTAATTTAAAAAAAAAAAGGAGTGCTGAGTATGACAGGTTCTAGTAGAAGTTGAATGCCTTCAATCTAATTATGTTTGTAAACTTTTTGGGGAAAATTATGTTTCTAATTTGCATATTGAAGAGCTAATTAATTTGCTGGGGCAAATTTTCATTACAAAAATCCAAATACAAAAGATTGAAATTTTGAGGGAGAAAGAAATGAAGGAGAAGTAAAAGGCCATTTGATGTTCCATGGCTATCGTAGAGCATGTACAACAACAATAAAGACTTTTTTTTTAAGTGCGGTCAATTATATTAATTTTAAAACGTCATTACGTTCGGTTTTGCATTAAGTCTTCCATTAGCTCTAACTACTTCATGTCTTTTTTTTAAAGTCTATTTCCAAGTTTTCTTAGATCTTCCTTTACTCATTTTGTTTGAAATAAAAAATTAGGGTAAATGACAAAAAACTACCTCAACTATTGGTCTGACGACACTTTAATACCTCATCTTTTAAAAATGACAATATCATACCTCATCTTACGAATTTGTGCCAATGTCAGACCTCCATCAGTTTTTCTGTTAATTTCTCTGTTAACTGGATTAAAAAATAATTAAATATATTTTTAATAATTAAATATTAAAAAATTAAAAATTAAAATATTTTTTTATATTAAATTGTGGGATTCACCTCTCTCTCTCTCTCTCTCTCTTCTCTGCATCCCCAAAATCCCAAAGCCAAGAAACCTTTCCCACCCATCCCCCCTAACCTTCCTCCACCATCCTCTCTCTCTCTCGCCCCTCTCTCTTTTCTCTCTTCCTCTGGGCAACCTGCATCCCCAAAATCCAAAAACCCAGAATCCCATTACAAATCTCAAAACCCAAAATCCCATCAAACCTCCATTTCTTCCTTTTTTTCTGTAGCAGAACAGCTGCGAGAACTGCCGAAACATCGACATCGCGTTGCGGCGGGAGAAGCCGATTTTTTCTAGGTAGTCAATTCGAGACAAGAGTTTGTCTTCCATGTTGCAGGAGATGAGGGAGGTGTGTTTGTTAACTTGGGAAATGTTGATGCTCTGTAGGATGTAGAGGGTGGGGCAAAGGTAGGTTTTGACGTTGCAGGCGAGGAGTTGGGGCGGCGATTGATGATGCTGCGGAGATCGGAGTCGTTGATATAGGCTTCGCGGATGAGGAATGCAGGGACTCGGACGATTTCGGTGACGCGGGAGGAGAGGATTTCGAGACACATGCCGATCAGGAGGCAGAATTCTAGGGAGGTGAAGCTAATGGAGGTGAGGAGGAAGTGGATGGGTTTGATGTGGGAGAGATGGAAGAAAAGGATGAGAGGGTGGTGGTTGATTAGGAAGAAGAAGTCGAGGCCGATGAAGTCGAGGTAGAGGACTTTTTCTTGGAAGTTGGAGTAGGGGTGTTGGTGGTTGGTGGGTGTTTAAGGGAGATGGTGGTTTTGGCGGCGGAGAGGATTGGGAAGTGGGGGGGTTTTCTTCGACGACGGAAAGCAGTGGGAAGAGTCATGGTGAAAGGAAGATGGGATTGGAGTTTGGGAATGAGATTGGGAGTGGAGGAGAAAAGGGGTTGTTTGGTGGTGGCGATGGAGGTGGGGAAGGGTTGCTCAGAGAGAGAGAGAAGAAAGAGAGAGAAGAGAGAGGCGAGAGAGAGAGAGAGGAGAGAGAGAGGGTGGTGGAGGAAGGTTGTGGGGACGGGCAGGAAAGGTTTATGGGCTTTGGGATTTTGGGGATGCAGAGAAGAGAGAGAGGCGAGAGAAAAAGATGAGAGAGAAAGGTGGATCCCATAATTTAATATAAAAAAATAATTTTATTTTTAATTTTTTAATATTTGATTATTAAAAATATATTTAATTATTTTTTAATCCAGTTAACAGAGAAATTAACAGAAAAACTGAGGGAGGTTTGACATTGGCACAAATTCGTAAGATGAGGTATAACATTGTCATTTTTAAAAGATGAGGTATGATAATGTCGTTCGACTCATAGTTGAGGTAGTTTTGTGTAATTTACCCAAAAAATATATATAGATACAAGGTGTATGGAGCAAGAAATTAGAGAAAACTAAAGACAAAGTTGAATTATGTCTTCTTTTCGTTGATAGAACAAATCATTATTGATTATTTTTTTTTTGGTGAAAAATTAGGTTTATAATTTCCATATTAATCTTGGACAGACAAAATTTACAGAGGCAAATATCATATATAAAGTTAAAATGGAGCTCTCAATGATGCCAAAGTGGATGATTTCGGCCACTTCTATCGCCACCAATTTTGCTCACATCAGACTAGCCGCTAACCCGACCCGACCAACTTGAATTCAAGTTATGGACTTAATCCCAATGTTGGAGACAGGGGACTCTGGAGTTTGGAGTCTTGGACTGTTTTTTTTTTTTAGAAAAATACTTGAAGCTTCTGCTGCCGACATGTTGGAACTTAAGTAAGAAAGAGAAAGTAGTTATTCTAGACCCGATTCCACATAGTATGTCCAGAGTTCTATTCCTGACCTTAATGAATCACACGATGGTAGCAAAGAAAGGCTAAAATACCTTTGTGAGTCTTCTTGGCTCCTGAAAATAGTGGACTACTATGCTAAAAAGGAGACAGAGAAAGTAGTTCAATGGGGTAGGTCATATAGGACCTCCCTAATACTCTTTCACTGTTGGGTTTTGTAGTTTCGGTAACTTGATAGTCAACTGCTAAAGCATGATCAAATCTATGCATGCAATTGCTCCAAGGTAGTCTTTATGGTAGCAACTTCTATCTCAATTGCTTAATTAGAACCTGATGCTTGCTTATTAGCACCTTACTCTCTTTTGAATTATATTGTTTCTCACTTTGCAATTCATCTCTCTGCAACTTACCTATCTTGAAACTGCTAATTTGGTATCTGTAATATTCCTGACATGAAAATTTGAAAATGTGATCTTGCCAAAATCACACTGGTTATATTGGTTGGTGCATGATTGCTTCATTTACATTTATGTCTCATTTGGTGTTTAGGATTGGATTGGAATTTATAACCCTCTAAATTCAACGTAAAGTGAAGTTAGAGGAGAATTATTTTTCATTTTTGGGAAGAACGAAATAGATAAGTTTTCTTCTTGAGTAATCCATTTTCTGCCCCCAAACAAATTGACCATAATTTTTTCATTTCTTCATTCAACATACCTTGGCTTATCCATTCCAATCCAATCCTTCATACCAATCAAGGCCTTTTGGGAGAATATGATGCTTTGACTACTTGTGGGTTTGCACGCTGTGAATATGGCTGATTCTTCTTATGATTCTGTTGTTGTTACTTCTCGTCGAGAAAAATATAACGCCTTTTTTAGTTTCAATTGAGACCCACATAGATTACAAATTTGAGAGAGGAGATAAAATTGGACTTGCCCTTCTCGAAGCAATAGAGAAATTGTTGAAGCACAAAATCAGTGGGACTTTGGTACAATAGAAAGTGTTAAGTTTGTGACCTTCGCTAGATTGCTCCAGTCAATAGTGTGGATAAGTATGTAAATGGATAGAGACAGGAAAGCAAACATAAGATGTACGTGGTTCACCCAGATTGGCTACGTCCACGGAGTAGAGGAGTTCTCATTAATTGTGAAGGGTTTATACAAGTACATAGGTTCAAGCTCTTCTTTAGTGAGTACTAGTGAATGATTTAGTACAAATGACATTCGGGATTATTGTGGGAGAATGATCTCCTTTTATAGAAAAGAGTTTCTAGCTTTGTTCTGGTCTTGACATGTGTCATGTTGTGATTGGCCTTTGATGTTAACACATGTCGTCCTGTGATTGGCCTCTTGGTGTTGACACGTGTCGCCATGTGATTGGTCTCTGGGTGTCGACACGTGTTGCGCTGTGATTGGCCTCTTGGTTAAAAGGAAACTCTTCTAGGTCCTTGACGGTATAACGTTGACTGGTGCTTGGTAGTTTCAGGATTGGTCAAGTATGGTACAAACAGTGCTCCCCTAAGTTCCCGAGTGAGGGATGCTCCTCGGTTGGGGACTTGCAAGATCCAAGTCGTTGAGTAATCATGAAACTTCTAAGTACTGAAGTGTGGTATCGTTTTCACTTGTCTTATCTATCTCATAAGTAAATGTGGCATCTTCTGTGGAAGTACTTTTCCTCCATCCAAAGGTGATATCTTTAACCGATGGAGATGCACAAGGTAATGTATCAATTTCACTTAAAGGTTACTTGTAGTTTCGGGCTTGGTCAAGCGCGATACAAACCCTATAGTAGGAGGCCCCCAAGTCTCTAAGCGAGGAGATCTGCCGAAAGAGGTGACAGACAAAGTAAGTAATCAGAGTTCCAAGCAGTCAGTCTTAGATTGAAAGTTTGATCTTGTGTTCTGGTTGATTGTTCTCATTCTCCTTGTTCTGTAGACATCAACAAGGACAAAGAAAAGAACATGGAGACGAGATGATATGAGATACTTTTTCTTTTGAAGAAGTAACTTTCCACAGGCTTATTCTTGAACTGGGCTGGAGGGTTTTCTAGTTTCCTCCACAGTATAATGCTCACTCAAGGATTTGAGGGTCAAAACAAGTCCATTAAATCAATAGTGCGTTCGACCTTGATGATATGGGATACTTTTGTTGTTGACAAAGTAATAAATGAATCGGCACGTGTTCTGTTGCGTATGTCTCCACATGCTTCCTTGTATCCTTCTCACTTGCCCCATCTGTTCCTCAGGCAGATGCGATATCTTTTCTGGAAGCATAAGATGTTGAAGATGAGTACTCGAGAGCAATGCCAGGTAAGTAATCAGGCAATGAGTTTCAGGTAGTCAATTCCTGACTGGAAGCTTGATTCCAAGTGATGACTGATTACTCTCTTTCTTCTTGTCTTGCAGGTAAAAACAAGGGCAAAGGAAAAGACAGGGGAAAAGCATGATATAGGATACTCTTGCTTTTAACCCTGATGATATGATATACTCTTGCTCTGGTGTGGCTTGCTTGCAAAGGTATTATCGGGGGGAAATAAGCTGGGTATTTCGAGAAACTCTGTTGAGAGTGCTATCTCGGATGTGAAGAAAAGTTGAGCATTTTTTTTTATTTGTCGGTCTACCTCGCTGTGGAGGATGAAGGTCGACATATATAGGAATTGTCCCAAAAGCGAGTAGTAACGCTATTCCTTTACCATTCTCGATCATAACAATGTAGTAGAAATTGCAAGATTCACATGTTTTAACTTTGTCAGAGCACTTTGAAAAAGTAGTTTGTGGTATCTGGAAAGCTGATGTTGCATGTGAAGATTGCAGACAAGCTTTATCCAAGGAAATATGGCTCTCGAAGTTCGGAGAGCGACGCCTCTTCGATTTTCGAACAAGCAATCTTATCGGGGATCTGGCTCTCGAGATTCGAAGAACGGTGCCTTTTCGATTTTTGAGAAAGCAATCCTGTTGGGAGTCTGGCTTTTGAGATTCGGAGAGCGGTGCCTCTTTGATTTTTGAGAAAGCAATCATGTTGAGAGTCTGGCTTTCATGATTTAAAGAGCAGTGTCTCTTCGATTGTTTAGAAAGCAATCCTGTTGGGAGTCTGGCTCTCAAGATTCGGAGAGCGGTGCCTCTTTGATTTTTGAGCAAGTAATGCTGTTGGGAGTCTGACTCTCGAAATTCGAAGAGCGGTGCCTCTTCGATTTTTAAGCAAGTAATCCTGTTAGGAGTCTTTCTCTCGAGATTCGGAGAGCGGTGCCTCTTCGATTTTTAAGCAAACAATCTTGTTGGGAGTGTTTTCTCAAATATGAGTAAGGTTGGGCATTTTTGCCAGTTTGCCTTGCCACAGAGCATGGAGGTTGACACACATAGAGACTTTCCAGTTATCAAGCAGTGGTGCTGTTGCTTTACCCTTGTGGGTAATAGTAGGGTAGCTGGACCTTCAAAATTTATGTGTCTAAACTTTGTCAGAGATCTTTGGCAAAGTTATATGTGATCAAAACCCTTCTTTTGTGTAATTCACATGTCACCATTTTATTGAATTTGTGGGTCTCACATGCAAACTAACATAAATAGTTGACGGAATCTAAACGGAATGACCAAATTGATCTGCGGTGGTGAATGTCAAGGACAACATTGATTGATTTTGAAAGTGAAGGACCAAAATGATGAGTTTGATCAATCTCAAGGACCATTGGTGATAAAAATCCTTCTTTATTTCATGTCACAGCCCGTCCCGGAATTTCATACTTGGGGATGTGAAATGACGGAATTACCATTAACGGTTGCTAAGGTATGTGTGACTTGT